TTTCAGTATATTTTCAGAATTTCAGTCCAGTGAGGTCTCTGTTGAGGTCCATGCTTGGTCTTAATATACATCAACTGACATACAGTACAGATGCTCTTTTGCTTTATTCAAAAATACATAATGCCTTTAAGCAAATCCACTGGCAAAATTTTATATGAATATTATTTCTATGCATATTGACTTCAGTTGTCCACCCCACATGCACATCCAAATGCCCACCACAGGAAGGCATCCCTAAATGCTACTGAGTGCCATGAAAGGAGCTTTGTTGTTGGTAGTATGCTGTAGTGTAGTGAGAATTGTTTAATTCAATCAGCTCCCACTGCAAGGCAGAACAAAGCTGAGTTTCATACATCACACCCTTTCACTTTTTTACTTCTGAACTGTCTGAATTGTACGACTAAAAGTGGAGCAAATAATTAGAGCAATCTCTTAATTTAACTGTTTCCTGCTCTGTAGAAAAACAGATTGACTTGACCATACATTCATACTTTTATAATTACAGATTATAAGACAGAAGATCAGATATTAGAAGACCAAGAATCTGTTTTAAATTATGAATCTGTTTTCTACACAGACCTCAATGACCAGACAAGCCCTTAGCACAGATCCTTATGTCCAGCTATAAGGCCAAACCCCATCATGTCAGAAATCATAACAGGAGTATAACAGGTTGGTGGCAATCATCATTTATAAATCCAAAACATCTCAAATACAATTTACCCCAAAATTAAATATAATACAAAGGGAATCTTTATTGTTTGAACAGCAACTGGACTTATCCAAATGGACTGGACACTTAACCAAGAATGACTCCACTAAAATGCTTTATAGTACTATTCTGTCTGAGTGGTCTGTTTAATTGTTATTTTTATTATTTTTAAATCATTTATATGTATGAGTGTTTTGTTTCTCAATGCATTTGTCTACTGCAGTGGTTTGGAATGCCAGTCTGTGGACTCTTTGTGGCTAAAGGCTTGGGTATACTTCATTTTCTTTGCTCTACTCCATTTTGTGCACAGTTGATCATATAAGCCTTTCAAAGTATATTCTATGGACTGCATGCACAGATGAATGTATTCAGTGTATGTACACTACCTAGTGAACCTTTTTTGAGTACATAAATCACTCATACATGCGTTGTCCACGTGGACACAAAAATTGGGATGCAAGTATAAAAGTTATGCCAGCAAGGGAAGTATTATTTTGGCTTAAGTGGGGCAGTTCTTGGCCAGAATAAACAGTCAGAAATCCGGTAAGTTTGATTCTCAAGGAATGCATGAGCTCATAAAATGTATAGTTGTTTTGGTTAAAATGTCTGCTAATGGGTAAATGTTAATAAACAAAAGTCCCATTTCAGGGTCTCCCACTTTGTGCAATGGCAACAGCTTGCTATCCTCCTTGCCTGTAACCCATCTCTCTCTCCTTCTTTCTCACACTGTTTACATTGTTTTAGTGAACATAAACACCAGCTAAGAAACACACAAAAGTGCAAACCAGTTCAAAACAACACACTGTCTTCAAATTCTATTGGACAATC